ATCGCCTTTCAGTCGTTCACAAAAAGGATTGGTTTTAGGGGTTTAAATACTCGTATATACTTTCAAAAAAACAAACGTGAAAAAGAAGGTGATTTTGGGAAACGTAAAAAATGTAGGTGATTTGTTTTTGGGAATTTTTATGGTAAATCTGCCACACACAAAAACAGTGTATTTGGGACATCAAGTGGACAGCCCGAGCGGCCTCTGTCGTGATTTTGGTATACTACATACTTTGCTGTGTATACTGGCCACGTCTGCGGCCAATAAAAAAAACGCTGGGGACATATGTGGCGTCCTAGCCCGCCCATTGGCCTGTTGGAACAACAACCGGGTGTGTGCTGAGTAGATGTTTGAACCCTACGTGAGCTGCTGACTTAAAGAAGGATTTTTTTTAAAAGTATAAATCACTAGCCAGCCTTTAGTTTTAGTAGTTAATCCTTTGCTGTAGTAAACTGTGCACTGAGTTTACTACTGATAAAAATATTCGAGGTAGATGTTTTCTACCTTGATTACCAGTGTACGAAGGACCCTGTTATAGTGTCTAGGACCTACTATAGTGGGTCGTGAATACATGACCAGCCTAGGACCCCCATGTGTGAAAGTCCTGAGTTATGTTATAAACGCACTCTTAAGCAGTACGTAAATTATAAACGTACTCTTAATAGTACGAGGAACTTAAGTTTCCTAAATGTACTCTTAATAGTACGAGGAACTTAGTCTCCTAAATGTACTCTGAATAGTACGAGGACTTTAGTTTCCTAAAATGGTTTTTAATGGTTTTATTAATTAATACCTTTTCCCTTTTACATATCAGATATTTGGACGACGCCACTAAAAGGCCTCAGTAAAATACCAAACATAAAGAGTTGGTCTAGTTCTATTAATAGAACTTCATTTACTTTCCAATTTTATTTATATCTGAATACTTCGGTAGCGAGATGGCTCAACCGAATATAGGTTTCTAGGGACTATTAATGTTACCTAGTTGATCCTCCGATCAGCCAACCAGATGTGCCAGTCTGATGAAGGCTAAGTCGGTAATTCTTGATAGTGGCAAGTTACTTGTTAAGACACTAACTAAAGACATCAAGAGTATTTTTGTTTCTATTTTTTTCTTCTAAAGATAGGATTTTATGAGTCTCTCGGATTCGCCCCAGTGAAACATACCATAGTTTCTAATAGAGCGACAACGAAACACTAAATAAAATCCCTTCGGCGGAAACAGTACCGAGAGGATTATATATAGGCAATGTCTTAGCCTCACAATCCCTCAGAGTATTGCTGTTTTCA